GATCTTGTTTGTTGAAGGGTTAGTTTTTCTAAACACAAAAAACGGTATGTCAGCTAGTTCGGCAAATCGTGATTGGAAATCAGGCAGTCGGAAAAAAATATTACATTGAATTTATTTTAATTTAATTTTTGACTCAGTAGCCACCTAACGTTCGCTTATGACACCCTTTAATATTTTTACAGCTAACAAGAACTATACATTATACTTATTAAGAAGTAAAAGAACAGCACTTCAGATGCTATATGGCCAATTTGAAGGTGCAACGTCAAAAGTAGCGGAACTTTTAAAGAAGGCAAAGATTCCGCCGAGATCCATTTTCTGAGTACCACAGGAACAATTAAAATGCAGTTAAGGGTGATAAAAATGTTGTATATAATGTTCCTCTGATTTGTCATACTTTAAGCTATTATAGTGTTAAAAGAAATATTGGGGGATTTTAAACCTGCTGCGGAGAACATTTTCATCAGAGACACACTGAAAAACGTTCGACTAGTAATCTGCGAAATAAAATCCACCGTTTTAGGGCTTACATGGTTAAGAAACGTGATAATGTAAAGAATATCTTTAAAAGTTTCCTCTTCTTCAGTCAGTTTTCTCGAGAGTTTTGCTAGAGTTTAGAGTGATGCGCGCTCCCGCGAGAAGGGACGCAATTCTCGGCAGGCATGCATTTCTCGGTATAACACCTCCTTCATCAGACGCAACTAGTTAGCCCTGTTCTTCATCAAGCTTTAGCGGGGAGGTTTATCTCATCAGATTTGAACATGTCTACCAGGACCCTACCGCTGCTCTTTATCAATCTCGGTGGAGAAATGCTGTATATCCTGGACCAGCGGCTTCGAGCACAGAATATACCCGCCGACAAAGCTAAAAAAGGTAGCAGGCTTAGCAGCTATTCAGCTAACAGCAAACTCTCTGCATATCTGTGCTGCACTAAAACGTGAAGATACTGTAAACGGCTGACATTTTTCTGTTCATTAAGCGGTCAAAATATTTTAAATGTAGGTAATGTAGAAAAGGACAATTAACAGACAGCGAAGAGTTAACGGTCAATGTCTTGAGTTATTTTTCCCTCCTTTAGAGCACACCTCTGTCTCAGGATACATGTTACTGTCCTCTGTTGGCAATAAATAAGTCAGAAAAGTTATTATTTCTAAGAGTTAATTGATATTATTTTTAACATACCTTAATTTATGCATTTTCTTTTGACTAAAAGTTTCTACTGTAGCTGCCTGGATAGAGGAGGACAGAAAGAGAGGTATTGGTTGTAATGATGCACTTGTGCATTAGTTGCTCTTTGCACTGCTTTGGCCTAGCTGTTATAAATGCGCTATTTCAAACAATGGGCATTTGACTTATGAGCAATGCAGGATAGATTAGAGCTATTTCAATGCTTTAATTTAAAAAACTTTAGCTCCTATACATTACATGCAATGGTGTATTCATATTATCTATTTGTCATTTGCTAGGATTATGTATAAAAGCTAATTAAATTCCCAAATTCAGCATTTTGAACTATAAATCATGTCACAGTCTCTGCTTCAAACTGACCATATTTTTTGTTTTGTTTCTCCAAATGTTTACATGTGATCACTGCTGCACTTTGAGGAATGGAAATGTCATGAGAGCTGTACACAAATGAAATTTCATTTTGTGTACACTCTGTGTATACAAAATCACAATAACGTTTGTATAAGTATAAGAAATGGGAATCAATGCAGCTGAGCAAGGATTGCATATAAAGTCTATTTAAAAACTTGGATTTTTTCTGCTCTGGATTAAACTGCTCCAAGAGAACAGGCTGCATTCTGAACAAGCAAAGCCAGAGTCTTGCATTGATGCAGTAATAAATAGTGTTGCACCGATACCAGCACTAAAATTGTATCGGTATCGGTGATTATGGATAAATAGGGCACGATACCATTTTGAGAGCCAGAAGTTTATTTAACTATTGTCACCTATTCCATGTACGCAATAAAAAGTTCTACTGGATTCACTTTGTATTAGTCTTTTTCCTGCTTCACAACGGTAGGCAGCAGCTTGACAAAGCCATGATGGCAATTATTTTACATCCAAGTAGTATGCAGTTCTTGATATATATACACACACATTGATTTCAAACAGATGGTATCGGTATCTGCCGATACTGCACAGCCAGATATCAGTACCGTGGCCAAAAAATGGCATTTGTGTAACACTAGTATTAAATGGAAACAGAATCTTGTAGCGTCTTCTGCAAACTATCGGTGGATTTAATGTTCAGGTCGTTAACATTTCTGTATTGAAATCGTTTCTAATTCTTCCTATTTTACATCCTAATTTTCTGAGAAACTGAATTTGGGTTTTCACCAGATATGCCATTATCATCAGAACAAACACAAATACACACTTGAAATACGTCCCACTGGGGGGCTGCAACAAATGGTAATATTACTAACCGACAAATCCGGTTATTATTTTTTAAGTTATTCTGTTAATAATCAGATTTTTTTATACAAAATTCAAACAAGGTGAAACTTAAACTATACCTCTTTCTTCTGGATCAAGTTTACTTCATTTAAATATTACTTAGATCCCTAACGCATATTTTGTACAGTTTTTGTCTAATTTATGCTCTGAGTTTGTTTTTGTTTTTTTGTTTTTCATTAGATAGCATATTTAAGAGTCCGTTTACCCCAGTTAATAATTAATAAACTTCTAAATAAATTGAACTCTCGCACTATGGGTATATATTGTATAGATAGAAATAAGAAACTGAAAATGTAATATATATTTTACACTTATACAACTTTTATTGTCATTTTGTGTACACATTGTATAGAAAACACTTTTTTTTTTTGTACAGCTGTCATGACATTTCCATATGTTAAAGTGCGTCACTTGATGTGTGCATTTTAATGATCTAATTTATTTAAATGAATATAGCGATAAGACATTCAGAAGATATTTGTTCAGAAATGCCTTTTGATTGTGTCTGTCAGTCAAATACGTGGCTAAGTTACCAAAGCATTAATGCTAATTACAAACGTAATGTTATATGAGACTGATTTATGTAGCTACTTTACAATAAATCTTGTCAGCTAGCTATTAGTGAAATTTAAAAGGGTTCATAATTTCCAACGTTCCATGTTGGCTTTTAATTGCTTCAAATATTAGCACCACATAAGTATGTCCTAATTTACACCAAAAAGTATTGTTTTTGCTATCCGCATATGTTGCCGTCTTTTTCTAAATTCATCATATATTCTTTTTCGATTCAGCAGGAAAAGGCGTGGGCTGATATCAGGGTTATGATAACTCTTTATTCGGAAATACCACAATATCTGAATATCTACACAAGTATGTAAAACAAAACCAACCATCTAACAAGGAGCAGCCATTATTCATTTACTCAAAGTTATATAAAATGAAACATTACATTTGTAAAACATTTTGTGATTTAGATTCTTTTTTTGTGTATTGATTTATGTAAAAACATGGACGTAAACACCTGCTAAATGTTATGATTTGAATTGCAAACTGCAGAGAATGCTAGACCCTTTAGCTCTTTATGGAGTTTTGATCAAGCTGATATCAGCAGGTTGCTGATATAGCTTTCAGCTCCAGCCTGCAGCTTGACAGATATGCCGCTTACCAAATGTTTCAAAATAGCCTTTATGCAATATGCATACGTTTTTAAGCCCATAAATGTCTGGGGTGGTAATGAATAGAAACATTTCCAAACAGCTAAATGTGTCTTTCTTGTAAGTGAAGGAGAAGTGTAGGATCATTTTAATGTACCCAGCTGACCACAAATGGAAGGTGGGAAAACACTGTATTATGCAATGCACACTACGTACTCAAAGGGAAAATTCTGCTATATAGGGTTCTTCTGTGGTGTGTGGTCAAAAGACTTTATAGGGCCTTTATAGGCCAAGTTAGTGTTTTTGATCACTTACAAATGGAGTCCCCCCCGTCTCTCAGTGAGGTCTAGAAGCACAAGATCTATATCCATCCATCCATTAAGCAAAGATACTGCTACATGTCTGTACATCTTATCTTGCCATTTGACCAATTGAATGAGCCTTGAATTATATATTACCTGCCTTAAATTAAGTTGGGGAAAAAAGTTAAAGAGTAAAAAAAAAAGCTAATTGAAAAGTTATAAAGTTAATAAGCCCAGTTAACAATTATATTTAGGTTTATAAACTAAAAAATGTAAAGTGCCAGTATCAGCATTAATGCCTCTAAGGTTATGTTAGACACAAAAAAAATGTTTTTCACTCTGAGTGTTTTTCATGAATTTCTTATAGAAGCACTTTTGTTATTTTTCTTAATATATTCGGGCAAGTTTGCATTTGTTGTTATTACATTGACATTATTTTTTGCCATCAAAATATCCATAATTTTTTATAAAATAACACCATTGGCTTGAATTTTTTATTTTCAAAGTATTTCACTGAGTGGCCTATAAAAGGTTAAACGCTTGCAAAAACAAATGGAAAAAAAAAATAGAAAATGTACTTATTTTGAAACTTAAACTTTCTAAAACCATTACATACCTTTTATACTGAATACTATGAAGGTAATCATAGTAATACCCATTATATGGTCCAATCAAAAAACAATGTTACTTACTTCAATTTAAAAAGTTGCTTTCAACAAAAAAGACTGCACTTCTATCAAATAAAACATTTTCAATCAAAGAAAAGCAGTGTTGGAATGTATTTTTTTTGAGTCTCAAATATATTTTGGCATTCAAATACTTTTTTTCTTTGATTGAATTTTTTTTTTTTTTATTGAAGTGAAGATTCTTTTAATTGAAAATATCTTTTTTGATTGAAACAACCTTTTTTTGATTGAATGATAAAGAAACTAATCTACCTTCATAGATTACTGGCTCTTGCATACATAAGACAAATTTTGCTAACTTACGTTTATGTACATTTTCAAAGTTTTTAGATCTGCTATGATTATTCTATTTGAAATTTAGTTGCTACAAATAGAGCTATTTGACTGAACTTTATAATGTATCATAATGCATAATGCTGGTCATACAATTAGAATATCATTAAAAAGCTAATTTATTTCAGAAATTCCATTCCAGTTGTTAAACTTGTATATTATATTAAGTTATTACACAGTATATATTTCCCGGGTTTATGTGTTTTATGATATAACTGACAACTAATTGAAAAATATTTAATTAGAATATTATATAGAGGTCCAATAATGAAGACACCTGGTGCCACACCATTCAGCTTATTAACTCAAAACGCCTCCAAAGGCCTTTAAATGGTCTCTGTGTATTTATATGTCACACAATCATGGGGAAAACTGCTGACTTGACAGATGTCCAAGACAACCATTGACATGCCTGTATAAATTATTTTTTTTATTGGGATCATTGCAACTGCAAGAAAAGTTTAAAATCAGAGTTTAAATCAGAGGGAACCAGACTTTCACACAGTTCTGCTAAACATAACATGTCAGGAAATTTCAAACCCTACAACACAGTCAGAGAAACTGCTTCACTCCAAGTAGGAGTGTAAATCACATCCATCATGGCGATTCAATTCAGTATCAATTTCCTGACCCAACGATTCGATCATTTTCGATACTCAAGAATACACCACGATACGATTCAATTTTATTGTCTTTTGTTGTTTTGTTTTTTTACCTTACAGGCTAGAAAATGTTTCAAATTTGAAATAAATCAATAAAAGCTGTAATATCGTTATGCATTTTATTTGAGAAACAAGAGCAAATAACAGAAGTTGCAAAGTTGTACTCTACCTTGGCCTGTGAAAACCTCAATCACTGAAAAATAATAATGCCTCTGTGTTATAGATTCTGAAAGGCCTTGCATTAAAAAATACTGCAAGCGGAACGAGGGTAGTGGCTAAAGGAAGCGAGGTAGGAGGGCAAAATAGGTTTAGCGCCACCACAGCACAGGAGTCAGAATTACGTCCAGGAGCAAATGGATAAAAGTAGACCGGAGGGAGGAAAAAAAAACACGAATCAATACTCTTGCAGGCGTGTCGATGCATTGGATCGTCGGCTGTTGGATTGATGCATCAATACAAAATTATTGTTATTTATACCCCTATCCAGTGCAGTGCAGACTGTTCGGACTCCAGTATTAGAAAAAACCAACCAATAACTATACAAACACATGTGGTTGTTTAAGATTCTTAAAATCCCTTTTGCGCTCATTACTAAATAACATCAAGACCATTATTATTTTTTTATTGTAGCTATCTTAAAACCTGCTGCCAGGTAGGCAATTGCTAACCTTTCGTCATGCTGCTGCTTTTTTAGGCCCTTTGGGTTTAGGTTTTGGATAAAATCTCTTCTGCAAACCTATAGTGCAAATCTGCCTGCTTCTAAGCTTCTAATGCCAAAAAGGCTCTTTTAATTTCAGTTTAAATTATCTAAATGCTCTTTTCTATTTCTTTACTTGATCAGTTATGAATGATATCATCACCACCATGTTCAACAAAAAGTTTCTGGAGGAGCTTTTTAAGCCACAGGAGCTTTATTCAAAGAAGGCCCTACGGACTGTGTTCGACAGACTGGCCCATGCATCCATAATGAGACTCAATCAAGCTAGTATGGACAAGGTAATACTTTGCTTTATTGTTTATCTCCGACAGCAAACCTTATTAAAAATTCACATTGGTTAAATTTACTATAGATGTTCGATACAGTGCCTAGTATCGCTTTATTGTGATTTCGCAAGAAAATTAAGCTTTTTTTTTTTTTTTTTTTTAAATGTAAAACCTCTTCCTTGCATTTGCATTTAGCTTCTCTGCTACCATACCCTTAAATATACTGTAGTACCACTAATAGCCTTTAGATTGTTAGTTAATAAATGAACCCTTTTTCAAAATCTTTCATCATAAAAATATAAGGATTTTTTATGTCTAATAAAAATCGAAATAATTGTAAAGCTAAAGAAAAAGTAGATTTTTTCCCCCTTTGTATTTACAAATTTTTAAAAAAAATCATACGTTTAGATACTGTAAATTCATTCAGGTGTTTACATGAATCTACTAAGGTTATTTCCTTTTTATTTGCATAAGACTGCATTTCACCACTAATATGTGGCTCCCCCTGCTGTTTATTGTGAGACTGACTGAACTGACTTTTGAGCAGGAAGTCATATTTGCTCATTTCCTTCTTCACAGCTCTATGACCTGATGACCATGGCCTTCAAATACCAGGTGCTTCTCTGTCCCCGACCTAAAGACATCCTGCTAGTCTCCTTCAACCACATGGATGCAATAAAAGACTTTGTGAAAGATGCTCCCGCCATTCTGGGTCAGGTTGATGAAACCTACCAGCAACTCATAGAGGTACAGAGGATGAAAGTGTAACACAAGATCTTAACCGGTTAATGCTGATAACAGAGAGCAGATAAGGTCATGGCTTCAGACTTAATCCAGTTTATTGTGTAACCTGATACCTTGCACTGGAAAAACTATCAAGAAATCAGTAAAAATGTCTAAAATTAATTGCATTTACCCTTCATTTGAGTCGGTAAATGAGATAGTTTACCAATGGAATTAGTATTTTTACTCTTAAAATAAGATAATTGGATAATATGCACTTGAAATAAGACAATTCAATTGTGTTTTCTTATTTTAAGTGTAAATTGTCTCGTTCCTTTGGCAAAATGTCTGTTTTACCTCCTTAATCCAAGAACAAAAGCGCTTATTTTAAGACAAAATGACTCCTCTAGATTTCAGTTTTTTCCAGTGGGACTTTATCGTCTCCAAACGTGGCAACAATGCGAGTGGATGAGTGACAAATGCTAATAAATCATCCGTGTTAAGACGCACTTTTAGTTCTTCTTGACCCCTAAGTATTCCTTTAATGTCTTTTTTTATTTCTCCTTTATTGTTCACTAGTAAAGTGTTTATAAAGATATTAAACAAGGGGCTAAGAAAATGACTGAGTACCACACGATAAACCAAAAAACGACCAAAAATCTAAACTTTCTTAAAGCTGATAAGAGAAATCTCTGTTCAGCCTTATCATCCTTCTCTCTATCCAAACATATGGTGACTACAGGCTCTTACTTCAGCCACATCTATCAGTTCCCCGATGCTGTCAGAGGAAGAGTGGTTTTATTGATAAATCCTGTCTTTATTTGGTGTTTAATACTTATACTAATTTACTTTTTATTTCCTCTTCTCAGATGTATACACCATTGTCTAATGGTGATTTCCAGCTGATTAGGCAAACTCTTCTTATTTTCTTCCAAGACATGCATATAAGGGTAATTATTTTAGTTCATGTTTTGTAAATCCTTGTTAGATTTTATATTTTAATTTTCGGAGCATTTTCACTAGATTTTCCTGCTGTTTTCTCTTTTTAAGGTGTCTATATTCCTGAAGGACAAGGTGCAGAACTCAAATGGCCGTTTTGTGCTTCCTACTAGTGGTCCTGTGCCCCGAGGAACCCAAATTCCTGGCTTGATAAGGTATTAAAATCATTCAAACTTACTTCTGACTTTATTTAATTTAAAGTGGCTTTATCACATACCACGACTATGAGAAATTAGAAAACTCGTATTCATCTTTAAATAAAACAATATATGCTAAGTTTGTGCTCATAGTGTTTACCTAGTGCTTTTCGAGCCTGAAAAGAATTTCGTCTGAGCGAGATCAGTGCACATAAGCATGGCTGCACCTTGTCACCATCTGCCTCTTATATGACCAAATTGAAAACTTGAACAAAGGGGAATGTTTTACACCATAAATACTTTATACACTTTTGTCACTGTTTGTAACAGCTTAAGAACACAATGATTTCACTAGTGTCCCTATAAAGCCAGACAAACACTGTATGATATTTCCAATTGTTGCACACAGCTACAGCTACCCATGAAACTGCAGGGTTTAAAAGTTCACAGCTCACAACGTATGTTCTTACATTGTACGGCCTGATGCTCTGATGCGACTTACCTGCTCACACTGCACGTCCACAAACCACACGCCAGAGATGGCGATGGTCGGACTCATCAATCTGGAAGATTGAGAAGAACTCCCTTGTTTGCACATGCGCAGTGCTCAAAGTTCTGGTAAATCGTCTTGTAGACGCTCATAGCTCTGCTTCAACAGCAGGATTTCCTCATAAACCTATCACAACGGCCGAAGGAATTTCAAACATGTTTTATTTTCTCCCAACCTTATCATACCTGATCGGGAGGTGGTCGTGAGAGGCAGATCGCCCCCTCATTACCCCCTGTATGCTACACGACGCAGGACACATCCAAAAAATTCTCGCACAACTGGAAAATTGGCCCGATAAGGGCAAAAAAATCGTACAGTGTATGCCCTGCTTAAAGGTTTTTTTTTCTTTTATATCATGATGACGTCATACACACTCCGCTTTGTCTTAAACAAA